AATGCCCACGATACCACATTTATTTGAGATCGATAACTTCAAGTAACAATCTCATATCATACTGCTTGATATCAAGCTGATCAAGGTTGGCATGGAATTCTGGACTAGGTTTGCTAGCTAGCCCACGTCTATAACCTTCACATTAGTAGTTAGTATTTGTCTAAATTTTCTTAGAATAAGAGTCCATACCTCTGATCCATACTGATGTAGTATTGACGATATAGGGAAATTTAATTGAAGATATTTTCCCAAGTAAGACTAAATCAAATCATGTTGTTTATTTATATTAAATCGTCTGACAATAACTATGTTGTTCGCATGAGAATAAGAAATTTGCAATTCAAATTTCTGCTTCTGTTCGAATTGTTTGTTTAACTCGTTGACCCCAACGAGGTAGACCGTGACCCCATCGCAACAGAAAAAAAAATTATAAAAGGATTTGATAAAAATATTCACTTATCGGGATAAAAATATATTTGAGTACTTTATGCACAGTATAAATTCTTCTACCTTGGCCAAGCTTGATATCAAGCAGTATGGTATCAGACTGTCACTTGAAGCTATAGATTCCAAATCAAAATTCTTATCGTGGGCATTGCTGTGGCATATGTATGCCAACTCTATTAGATATACATATGCAAAATATAGAATCTACACACAAAAAAGGGATCAGAAAGTCCCGAGATCGACCTACATCGTGTCTAAGCTTGATATCTAGCAGCCTGGTATCAGATTGTCACTTGAAGTCATAGTTCTCAAATCAAAATGGCTTTTTGTGGGCACTGCTGCAACATATATATGCCAACACTATTAGATATGCACCTAATATCTAATAAATATAATCTACACACAAAAATAAGGATCAAAATTTGGACTCTAACTACTAGTGTAATACGGTTAAAAATTAAAACTTACGCGTCGACCACTGGGCTTTCACAGCCCTACAGAACACGGTTTGTTGATATATTTGCTTTTGAAAAAATCTGATAGAAAACTTGGTTAGCTTAAAATATAGCATTTAATACAATATGGATCAACTATAAAACTATTATTTATTAAAACTTATTAAACTAGTAGTGTATGGCATTGTGCCTTGAGGCAAATTGCTGGAACTTCCCGTACCGAATTAAAAAAATCTAGATTGAAAAATCTGGTGAAGACGTTGGTTAGCAAACCCTAGTCCCGAGTTCGACTTACATCGCGGCCAGCTTGATATCGAGCAGTATGATATCAGAATGTCACTTGAAGTTATAAATCTCAAATCCAGATGGCTTTTCGTGGCATTGCTGCAACATGTGTACGTTAACAAACACTATCAGACATACATATCTAAAATATATAATTCACACAAAAAGCAGAGTAGTTGACCAATGGGTTACCTTCTAGGTTGATGTACGTCGAGAAAAATCAAAGCCAAATGTATCCATTATTATATAATATAATTCCAGTTATTATTATTTTTATCAGAGTGTTGAGAATGATTTTCGACATGTGTAGGAAACGGAAACATGT